AAAGGAAAGGAAAGGAAAGGAAAGGAAAGGAAAGGAAAGGAAAGGAAAGGAAAGGAAAGGAAAATGAAAGTTATGGAACCCTTCATGAATGAGCCAGACCCAGAATAAAGAGACCAACCTGCATTTTACAATAAAGCAAAACTAGTTTGTAATTGTTTCTTTGGAGTTGCATTTTAAAAAGCTGGGCATTATATCTCAGGCACCTGCAATCTTAGCCTTGAGAAGATGAGGCAGGAGGACTATAAGATTGAAGCCTGACTAGGCTTATAAATAGCAAGATTCTGTCTTGGAAAAGAATGTATAAAAAGGAGTCTCCCACATGCTGACAAATGCTCTAGCAATCTCAGGTCAGACTGAGTTTACAGTTCAAGCATAAAGAGTACGACTAATTTTATGTTCATTACAGTACTGCTGTGATAAATATGGACAATGACTTTATCACAAGAACTGTTCTTGGAAAAGATACTTGCTTTCCCCAGGTATTCAAAAAAGAAATTCGTAGTATTTGAGCTGTCCCCTTACCCTCCCATAGCACTGAATCTTGCCTTTAAGAACAGCTTTATCAGCAGCCGCTATTTAATATCCTAATGGGATTCATGGAATGTTCTAGAAGCAATCCACTAGCTTGGATGAAGAAAAAAAAACCACAGGAAAAGTGATAAAAAAAAAAAAGCACAGGAAAAGCACAATAAAGTGATGATTATGAATACCAACAAGGTTTTCCACTTAAAAAAAGAAGTGTATATCCCAAGGACTACAATGCCATTTCTTTTTGACAAGCTCTAACTCAATAAATATATATCAGGATTTAAACATATGCCAACTTATAGCAATCTCTTAACCAGCCAAATGATACTGTAAGATTGGTTTTCTCCCCCTAATGGAAATCATACAAAAACTGCCCAGAACTTGGTGTCTACTATGCAGACCCATGACATGCACTCATGTAGCAAGTCCCAGGATACTTTTTTTGTCACAGATCCATTTGGGCAATATGAAGGCATGCAAAACTACAAATTAGTAGCTTTAAGTAAAAGAGCCTTAACTTTCCAAACTTTGCATTAAAATTTCAAATACACTCGAGCTGTTTGTTTGTGCAAAGGTGAAAGTATGCAAAACACACTCTGGTGCACATCTAAGAGGTGAGTTAATTTTGAATGACTGCAATTGATACCTCCTTCATCAGATGGTCTTGTTACCTCACTGCAGCATGAAAAGCTAGGGTAGAGCTCAGAGATCTCTGATTTGTCATCTCCCAGACATGTACCAAACGTGCTGCCAGAATGTGAGCGAGACAGGCGTCTCTGGTACTGACTTGCCTTTTCTACATCAGAGGGAGAATATTCAGACACATGAATGAGTGACTCATACAACAGATAGATTCCTTAAAAGCCTCACTGGAGAGCAAGAACAATATCTAATTAAGTACTAATCCCTAATCTCTGCTATTATAAGGTTCTTGTCAACCATTCCCAGACTTAGCATGGACTGCATCACATGGATACAGGACCTAAAAGATGTTTATTGTCATTTAATCTGGTTTTATTAAGAGGTAGGGGGTGGACAATAACTAAGCAAACATTAGAAAAGTAAGAAATTTCTTCAAAAGCAAATATTTGCTTTAAACGTTTGTTTTCAAGTAGCCCTTCAGCACACAGTACTTGGATAGTAATTTTCTTTCCATATTTGCTAAACATAGCTTAAAAGTCTAAATGTCTCATCATGCTGTCACAATATCAAATCATTCATTTCCCCCTTTTAATGACATATACATCATCCAAGATCAGTCAAATAAGTCCCCTTATTTATATAAGATGGGAGCTACTCATTTTATATTGTAGAAAACTTAGAGATAAATGCTGTATACCTGAAGGTTTAATTCAGAAGCATATATAATATTGTAGAGAAACCTTTCCATTATTCTCTATATAATTTCAAAAACTGACTCTAAAATACTATGACACTGTATTCATGAGGTAAATCTTCTTTTTGTCCCAGAAGCCCTTGGCAATCTAAATAACTAGGTCTGCAGCCCCAGGAAGCCTATAGAATCAGATTTACCAATAAACAGCAAAGGTAAGTATGCCCTAGAAACCGTTTTAAATGAATCTAGGACAAACTAATGTAGGATCTATTTTCAAGCTCCTTTGTAAGTTTTGTTTTCATAAATAACTAATGTTATTTTCTTGGGTTTTCTGAATTCTCAACTGCAAATTCACGCGGCATGTTGGTCGCAATGAAAGTCTATAATTCCTCATCATTAGCTTTCAGGACAAACCCCAGAGATACAGAAGAACTCAAACAATACCAGAGAGCATATGGAGACTTCGTGACTGAATATTGTCCTCCAGAGGGTCAATGTCGAAGATGGAGCCAGGATCTGTACGCCACACTTTAAGGTCTTTCACCAAAAGGAAGAAACCAAGATATCAAGAGGGAACTTTGGAAAGCCAGCATGGAAATCAATCAAGCAAATACAACAGATTAAAAGCATCTCAGTGCACTGCAGAGTCCAGAGAATGGCGGTGGTGGTGGTGGTAGGGTACTCAAGGCAGGCAGAAAGACACAACTCGCTTTCCCATGTCACTGCTAAGGAACATTTGTCATCAAATTTGAGCAGCCTGACTTCTTCACTGCCCAGCACAGAAGTAGTCATGAAGCACCCATGACTCTACTCAAGGCAGGTGGACACACGGCTGCTACATTCAGTCCTTCTGCATCCCCAGTCCCCACCCCTCTTTGCTTCACCCCAAAACAGTCAACATCTGCTTAAAATTCCTGACTAAGGACAACACCTGAGTATTCATGGGAAATGCCAAAAAGGTTTTTGTTTAAAAGCCTTCTCTGCCTGTAACAGGAAAAGATGCTGGGAGTGTAGACAAGTGGCAGGACCAGTTTTCATTCCACGTCTGAGTCTATGGGAACAAATAAAGCTATATAGGACACATCTATCATCAATTCTGTAGAAAGGATTCTAACACTGAACCATGAGGGATGGAGGGTGAAGGCATAGAAAATTGATTTCTTCCATCTGTGGACCATAGATTAATTTACTTCTGCATTCAGTTTACACACTATTGCCATTGTTTATTTTTAAAGTGTCCCCCAAAGGTACATGTCTTGAAGACCTCTTTACTACCCTGTGACATAATTCAATGTTGTAGAAACTTTAAAAGGTGATCTTTAGTGAGAGAAAGTTATATAATTGGGGAGTTCCCTTTAAGAACAATGTTTGTGATGTAAATAAATAAATAAATAAATAGAAATATCTTGGGACAAGCCCACCTAAGTATCCTTTGCTTCCTAGTGGCTGCCTTCGTCTTTCACAGACTCTGACTGACACACTACACTCTCAGTCAAAGCAATAGAGCCAAATGACTCTGGACTACAACCTCATACTGTCAGCCAAATTAACACATTCCTCTTTCCAGTTGATCTCTCAAGTATTTTGTCACAATGACAGACATGTAACTAACAGACATGGAGGCCAATGTGCCCTTGCTCTATTGTAGCTAAAGGCAAACTTCAAGTTTAATAATTTCTGAATGAATCTGTTGTTACAGTGGATGAACCTAAAAGGGCTTTGTGGTGACAAACAACTTGGAAATAAGTAGCCAGTTGTGTTAAAATAACATAACTCGTGAATAAAAGGCTTTCTTACCGATTACATACTGTTGACTACATGCCAAGCACTATTGTCTATTATGACCTAACACATTAAGCATCATATATACTACTACAGGCACTGACGTCATTACCATTTCATAGGTGAGAAAACTGAGGCTCAGACAGATTGAGTAACATTGCTAAGTTCATCCCGCTAGTAAGTACTGGGTCCCCACAATAAAAATAGGACTAGGACCAACTGTCTTGATCTATACTGACGAGCAAATCTATAAACTTATATTTTGATGCACGGTATAAACCCCAGCTCATTGGAAGGCTTAGTGTTCCTTAAATGTATTTCATTTTATAGTTTTATAAGCAAGCCTTCCTGGACACTGATTTTCCCCATAAGAAGAAATAAACTGCCCACTGCATATATAATCTTTAGTTATAAATCTTATACTTAAAAAATAGCAATAACTACTATTGAAAATACTATAAATACTAACTCTGAGAGCCCTGTCTAGACAGTTTCATCATTTTTTAACAGTGATTTCCCTGTCGGTCCTAGTGTCTGATCTTTGTAAGACTCCAGGGTGAGATGAATCACCCCACTCTCTCTTATCAGTTATTAGCACAAATCAATGAAACTCTCTACTTCTGCATTACTTTTACTGAAAACATCACAATTCATCTATCCATCTTATTATGACCTCTTTCAGCAATCAATCTGGACAGATGAGTAAAGCTATCAATTGCCTACAAATAGGTCTGGAGTGTTTCTTTGGAAAACACTCAGTTTCACTTTGGTAATGATTAAAGTCATCTAGGGCTTTGACATTAGCACTTTTGCTTTATACTAAAATGTTACTTTGTCAAATACAAGCTTCCCTACCCACTAACCTCCCTGTGCCCTTTAACTACTATGACTCTCAAGCAGAAGCTCTTCCTCTTGAAGATTAAAGTAACCTAACATCAAGGTTACTGAGAAGTATACACCATGTGTGGTGGTTTGAATAGGTATGGTCACATAGACTCGAGTGAATGCTTGGCGCATAACGAGTGGCGCTATTAGAAGGCGTAGCTTTGTTGGAGAAAGTGTGTCACTGTGGGAGCTGCCTTTGAGACCTCATATGCTTAATTTATGCTCAATGTGGCACAAAGTCTCCTTCTGCTGCCCACAGATAAAGATGTAAAACTCTCAGCTCCTTCTCCAGCACCATGTCTTCCAGCATGTTGCCATGCTTCCATGATGATAATGGCCTGAATCTCTGAAACTGTAAACCAGTCCCAGTCAAATATTTGCCTTTATAGGAGTTGCCTTGGTCATGGTGTCTCTTTGCAGCAGTGAAACTTAGGCACCATGGTTGCCAAAAACTTTCAGATTGTGATGGTTTGTACTGTCAATTTGACGTTAAAAGTTCTATGGAGACAAATCTCTGGACAGACCTGTGAGGGATTATATTGCTTAGGTCAATCAGGGTGGGAAGACCCACCCTAAATGGAGGTGACGTCATTCTAAGAGTTGTGGCTCTGGACTGTGGGAACAGGAGAAAGGGGGGCTGAACACGGTATTCATTACTCACTGCTTCCTAGCAGGGGATACGATGTGATCATCTACTCTGTGGGATAGACTGTGCTTTTGAACTATGGACCAAAATAAATCCTCCCTTAAGTTGCCTATGTGTGTGTGTGTGCATTTTGTCATAGCAATGCAGAAGGTAACTGAATAGTAAGCCAGACAGCTGGAGTGAAATAAAAATTCAGATGCTGATGGCCTCAAGGAAACAAGGCTCAAAGTTTTGATCCATACCAATAATTTGATGATTTTCCTTTCCAGATTGCTTATACTTCAGTCTGATTTCCACTGATATCTCAAGTCACATTCCCTAGAATTTTCCTTGACTGAATGTAAGGAAAAGAAACAATGAACAGAGAGAGGATTCCTCTCTAAATAACCAGGCTTTTGCATGACCCTCAAATATCCTATTTCAGAAACACTATTCAAAAATACAAATGACTCATGCTACAGAATACCATCAGATTCTCTGTTTAATCACAAAGGGACAAAAATGGGAAATGACTAATTCTGTCTCCCATATACACCATGTCTACACTGCCACACTTTGAACCAAACAACTACAGATGTTAAAGGAAGCAACATGTTCAACCTTTATAATCACTTCTCCCTGGGATGCCACTGTTTAACAAGGTGATTTTAACCAGAACTTATTTGCTGGATGTCCTGGATCCTTTTCATTATGGTACAAAAGCCTACCTATGACCTAGTTGAAATCCACATCAAACTTGTGAAATTAGATGAAAAGGGAAGCTAGCTCTAGAGCAGGCACAGTCTCTGACCAAGTATCCCCATGGGAAGACCACACACTCACCAACAATGATCCCAGGTCTTCTATCCATCTCCACAACATGAGGCTGGACACCTTTATAGGCAGCATCGCTCACAACCTGGGTGTTCTTCCTCACCCGCTCCGTCACAGGATCATCCACAACAGGAGTGAAGCCTCTTCCCTTTGTCTTCTCAAAATCTTCGTGATATTTGACCTGAAAAAGAAATTATTATTAATTCAGATGGAAAGCTCTAATTAGCTCACAAAACATTTATAAAATGATAGATTACATCAAATATATCTGGATTATTACATATCATAACTATAATACTGTGATATAATATAATTTCCTCAAGTAGTCCAAAACCATGTCAGAAATCAAGTGCTAATAATTTTATATTTTTAAATACTATAAATAGTATCTCTTTTAAATGATACGTAATCTTATATATCAGTGAGGTATAAAAGACAATTACTTTAAAACATTTGTTACTTCTTAAAACACACAATTTGACTCTAGATTGATCTCTAATCTTTTCACCTTCAATATACAATAGTAATAAGCTATTTAAGCACAATTCATCAATACAACAGTGCTATTAAAATTAGATGAAGAGAGTTTTATATGCTCTATAAAAGTTTATATATAATTACAAATCAATCCTCTAAATTATACTAGTTTATATTAAACACTTTAAATGGGTAAACTTCAGGGTAAAGAAAGTACAACATGAAACTGTTCTTGAAACACACTAAAAATATTCTTTACAATATTCAATTAGAACAAAGTATGTCTTAAAATTAAATGAAAACCAAAGTCTAGGTAAACATCATTCACAAAATATATTTATAGTAGTCAAGTTAGAAATAAGAACACACCAAAAATCATTGAGGGGAAATTATTTTATTAGAGAAAATATTATTATTACATTTCAGTGTAACTATAACACCCTGCCCCAAGTGCTCATTCAAATTCCCATGCTTTGTTAGTTGTTCAGATTAATAGCGAGCGAATGCCATCCAAACACAGGTCTTGCCATCCCTCAGTATGTTTTAGTTATGGAGACAGTGATCCGTCGCATCCTACCATGGAAACATGATTTTGTGCTTCTTTAACGTGTCTCAAAGCAGGTGTATCTAAGATCAAACATGGTCTACCTTTCATTTGTTTATGGTCCTGAGTGTATTTCACCTGAATAAATAAATACATAAATACATAAATAAATACATACATAAATAAATATATAAATAAATAAATAAATAAATAAATAAGTAAACAACAGGAGACACCCATATAACTGGGTATTATAATCTAGAAATTGCATAGCTTTTGGAAGCTTTTCAAATGGGTTGTGTCATATCCAACCTACTCAAAATTATTCCCCAGGTAACTTTTCTTTCAGTGGATAACATTGTGTTCCAGAATAGTCACCTACAATCACACACTCTTGATGATTTCTCTTAAAAGTTATTCTATAACTGTCAACAGGAAGCAAATGTATGTGGCCAACCATCAGTTAGTAACCACCAGAGAAACTGCTCAAAGCATTTAAACATGGCAAATAAAGCATGAAATAGAACAATAGGCATTTTCTGTTTCTAAGTAATTTTCTGCTCTAAGAGTGTGGAGGGAAGCAGATGAGACAGTTTCTGCTTTCCTTTATTTTTTCCCCTCACTAGAGAGTGAGGAACAACCAGGAGCAAATTTACATTTTCTTCTGAGTAGCTACACCTTAAAGAGAATTGATGCTGAATATGCCTGATATCTCTGGACAGGAATGCTCTAAGGGAGCTGTCAGTTATGAATCTCAAAGGCTAACCTGCAGGCGTGGAGACACTGTGGGTGTGCTGTAAGCAGGGCCCTGATACTCAGATCTGCAGGCATTTGAGGGATTCCCACAGTGGGGTATGAAATCTACTAAGGTAATGTGTACTCACCATGGACAGCTTTACAGAATAACTGAATTCTATATTGAATGCACTAAATTTGTTATCTTCTGAACTCTTATTTTGAATCACTCATTTTTAAATATGTCTTTGGAGGAACCATTTAACAATTCATGTTTAGTGAACTACATCAGTAAAATGACAATTTTTTAAAAATGTATACATCAAAGACTTAGCCAATTTCAAAGATACTGATTAAAATGAGTCATTGCTTAAATAGACTAGAGATGTAACACATCTTTGGATATTAATAAAAGATTGTACAATTAATGTAAATGAACATGGTGAGAGCTTTTGGGATTCATTTGTGATAGCATACATGTTAATTGGAAATTCATTTTATTTGTAAAACAATAAACAATACAAGTAAATTTTAAAGGATACATCCTTTGCAATGGTCCAAAATGAATTAAAACCACTTGCCGAGCTGATATTTTCTTGATTCTTCTTTACTCTTTCCATTTCGGGAGTTACACTCAAAGCTGTAGCCCTTCCCAGTTGACCTTTATAATAAACCTATCATTTCAGAGGTAAAAAATAGAAGATTGTGAATCACTTTAGCAACAGAAGAATCATGTCATGTGTAATTTTAAAGGATTAGCCAAGGAAGGGAACTCATTAAAACAGAGGAGGAAGGGGAAGAGGGAGAGGAAAAGACAGAAAATGCTTTCATCTTCAAGCATCTATTTCATTTTGGGATAGGAGTGTCCCTCTTCCCAATAGCCAGGATAGGCTCAAGTATTCCACCAGTCAGCCTATAGTGAACAGGTGAATATTCACTCACAGGTGAATATGAGAAGAAATGCTTTGTGGATATTACAAGTCTTCTTTGAATAGAATGGTACTGTATAGTTGTGTTTTCTCAGAAATTAACTATGACATGGCCTTGAAAGGAGTTTATTCCAACAAGCCACCATGGCAAGCCATGTAAAAACAGCATGCTTCTCTCTATACCATCCCTCCGTCTCCTAACTATATGCTTTCTTTAGAGTAATAGAGTCCCATCAAGTATTGGGAAGACACAGATACTACTCCTCCAAAAGATAGATAACAGTTAGGTAAAGTATCTAATGATAACCTGCCTTTGGTTCATAAACTTGCCAAATGACTTTATGAGTTTGAGAAATAAATAATTTCTTTAAAGATAAGAGATTTCTGAATTCCCTCTTCCAAAGAGCCCATTCTGTTTGTTAATGACTTCCTAAAAGGATGCTCTCAGGGAACTGTGCATGGGTTATATAAACACAGTGATCTAGAGTCATCCATGAGTCTAAGTAAAAATGCTGCCTTGGGCCAAATGCCCATTAACTGGTCCACTTCACATGATATATTCGGTCAACCACACATACTTCACCATTTCCCCTCAGAAACATAGTAATAACCATCACAAATGAGAGAAAGGGGCTGGAGGGGCCTGACAAACAAGAACTCAGGCAGGTAGAAACAGCAAGAAATCTGGACTGCAGGACCAAGATGCCAGGAACCACCACTACCTTCAGTAGGAACCACAGCAATCACCAGCACAAAAATAAGATGAGAAGGGGTTGCCACAAATTTCAGGGCAGTCATTACAGTACAGCAACTTGAGCGCTGATGCACCTATGACTCTGGCACTGTCCTCTGAGGAAGCTGCCAGTCAACTGAGACTATCAACTCAGATAGGAAAATTCTAATACAGTGATTCTCAGCCTTCCTAGTAACATGAAATAGTTCCTCATGTTGTGATGATCCACAACCAAAAATTATTTCATTGTTACTTCATAACTCTAATTTCGCTACTGATATGAGTCATAATGTAAATATATGATATCCAACTTTTGGGGGGTTTGCAACCCACAGGTTGAGAACCACTGTTTTAATTTCTTATCTGGATACTGACACATTTGATATTATTAGATACAAATAATAAATACTAAGATGTTCACACATTACTGATATTCTTCTGGTTTTCTTTAACTCTCTTCAGCTCTGGCAGATCCGGAATAGGAGTTGCCTGTTTTAGCTCTCCTTTGTATTTGACCTATAGAGGATACATAAGAATTTTAATAAATAGTATAAAGAGCTCTGAGAGACTACAACAAAGGCTAGCTCTCAAATCCACTCTTGCTTTTTACACATGGGCTTTCACAGTGGTCTCCTGTTGACTGGACTCAACTTATCAAGAAGTGTTGATTATGGTGTTTAAAGGGGGAATCTTCAGCCTGGAATCGTGGTGCATACCTTAAGTCCCAGCACTTAGAAGGCAGAGGCAGGTGGCTCTCTGAGTTCTGAGGCCATCCCAGTCTCAGAGTGAGTTCCAGGACAGGCAGAGTAGCACAGAGAAATGCTGTCTCAAAAAACTAAACTAAAAAGAAGAAGAATGGGGTATGTTTTTGTCAAAACTAACTACAAGCTCTACAGTGGAAGTAAAAGAGCATCCTTATATAGAAACAGCAGAAGGATATCAGGACAATAAACTAGAATGAAGTCCCTGCGGCAGGCTGGGAAGGGGCTTTAGTATGCTTCTGGCCCTCGACTTTCTACTTTTAAAACATCCCTGACTTCTTCTTCCTCCTTTGGAGGTATTATTCAAGATAAAATAAATTGACCTTGATTTTCTTCTCCACCTGGGAGAACTTACTTTTAAATTTTAAAATCTTTCAAAATGCAAGGTTTGCAAGAAAGAGGCTATTCTTGCTATTGGAGAAAGCTCCATAGAAGAATTGACAAAAGGTAAAAAATACTACTTGTGGTTTCCCTAAAGAGATTCCTAAATTCCAGAGGACCCAAGTTCAAGTCCCAGATTTGCCCTTACTTGCAATGGATTTTGCCATGCTCTCTGACTCCTCAAAATTCAGTTTTCCTCATCCACCAGTCAAAGAAATGAATAATGCTCAGCTCAGGTATTCCAATATAATATTAAAAGAAGCCTGAGCACTGAGCAGAGGTCCCTCTCCATTGTTAATTAGGACTGCTTTATGACAGTAGATTATGAAGTGACTGGCTGATGTCTTCCATTTCACTTATAGGGTTCCTTCCTTTGGTATTGCATCCTACAGTACCAGTCAAGTCAAGTCTTCTTTTACCCCATCTCTAATACTGTTTTTCCTTATAATGCCTAAGCCACTCTACTTCCCAGCTCTTTACCTAGATGTATTTTTAGAGACTTAGCAGTAAACTAAAAGGTTCATGGGAAAAGATATGGCCCTTATAGATCCTCGTGTTCTGTGTACTTAATGAAGACCTTGTGAGCCAGATACATGGTGCAAACTTCCTGACTCACATAAGAATCAAACTTTCATGGCCTTCAATGTGTGAAAGAATACCTAAATGCATAGAGAATTCACTGATTCACAGAAAGCATTTTAAAAAAAATAAAAGTATACCATGTTGGATAAAATATAAAAGAAAACACAATGACTTGCCGAACTCAGCTGTTCCTGGTTCCTCTTCACTCTCTCAATCTCTGGGGTCATCGTTACTGGAGTGGCCTTATAGGTTTGCTCTTTGTACTGGAACTGGAGAACAAAGCGTAAGACAGTCTGGAATCATGGGAAATAAATATGTACCACTGGAACATACTAAAGGAAATATCACATGTGACAGATCATTCATACTCTCTCCCCCCATGATACCAACATACTTTTAAAAATATTCAACTTTTTTATACAACATATTTTGATCATATTCTTTCCCTCCCCCGATGCCTCTGAAATACTCCCCACCTTCCTACCTATCCAACTTCATTACGCTTTCAAAAAAAATGGAAAAGAAAAAAATATCAAAAAATGCATATGTCCACAAACAACAACATGGGGTTCATATGGTATTGGCCAACTACTTGTGCTTAGAGTCTGCTCTAGAATGTGGTTAATACTCCATTAGACACAGCGTCTTTATACTATATAACTTACTGATGACTTCTTTATTTTGTTTTCATCAGTAATAAGAAATTAGCCTTTCTATGAGTCCACCAGTTCCTGATGTCATAACAATGGGTACTAAATTACCATCTTATGTTTAAAATGATTGATTATCATCATCATTTTAGTAACAGGTCACATTGTATGTAAAATACATTCTTGCCATCACTCTCAGCATTGAGAAAGTAGGCACAAAAATCCTATGCCTACTCTTCAGTGGCATACTGCCTCCACCAACCTTTATCACGGAGATCTCAGTGGCTTTCTTTACCAAGTTCCAATGTTGGAAGGCCCAACTTCTGACCTAATACTACAGAAGATATCCTCACCTACTGCATAGAGATCTTCCTTCTTAGCTGGGGGTAGAAAAGGGTGATAACTTCATTGTCCACAGTCAATTGTCCCAACAATTCTACAACATCTTAAGAAATAAAGGAACATCAAACACAGAGGAAGGGGTGTCGGAGATGGCATATCTGTTGAGAGTTTTTGACAGCTACAGTAAAACTGAAAGAGAAAGTCCTTATGCAAGGACCTGTATGGCAATGAGTTTTCAGAGTTTAAGTTCAGCCTTAGAGCCTTGCACAGGCCTTGCTCTTAAGATGTATGCTCTTATGAATGAACAGAAAAATGAAGAAAAATTTGAGAAGCCTGGAAAATAAATGGGAAAAGTTGGATTTCTTCCAATGTACCCTCTCCCTAAAGAGCCAGATTCTTTGTACTGCTTCGTGTGAGTGTTTAGGCAAGTTCAATGGGCTAAAATAATAGAGTTACACTGAGGAATATTTCACATGACCATTACTGGTAGAAATATCCTTCCTGCTAGAGCTTGAACTCAAGCTTTGTAGAGCAGAATTGCTGACAGGGAGAACCTATAACTGCTAGAGAGGGTAAACATCAATTCAATCTTGTCCTGATTCTCCTACTCATCACTTCGTCATGTGCTTTAAAACCAATGACTCTTTAATACTAAAATCTCTGTTTTATGGGAGAGGAACTTTTATATGTGACAATTTGTGAAGAGTATATAATATATGAAGTCCAGAGCTAGAATCAAACCTATCAGTATACCAGGGTCCATGTTCCTCTCCATCACTTCACTGTTTATTATACTTCGTAGATTCCACCATCTGCAGTCATGACATGCCATGTAATTTCTATAACATCTATGCTATCAAACACCTATTTTTTCAAATAAAGTTGGGACAATGTTGTTTTTAATCATACATTTTTAAGACAGAGGAGGAGGAAGAAAAGAATAAGAATAGGAATAGGAGAAGGAAGAGGAGGAGGAGGAAGAGGAAGAAGAAGAAGAAGAAGAAGAAGAAGAAGAAGAAGAAGAAGAAGAAGAAGAAGAAGAAGAAGAAGAACTATTTCAATAAAATAACTAATCACCAAGTCTAATACTAGCAATAACAGGGCTGTTAGCATATTCTTGAGTGAGCTACGAGCATTGCTACAAGTATTCTCTATGCTACAGTCTTATGATCAGTATTGCAAGTCCTGTCCTTCCATCATCTCCTGCCACCCCCATCCCAAACACTCATCATTAAAATCCTCTCTCTCTTGAATAGTCATTGGATCCTGAAAATACTGTTTTCCTACCAGGAAGGCCCTTCCTCACAAAAGCCACCTGAAAACTTTACAAGAAGTGTTTAAAAAAAAGAAGATCATACTTATCAGGTACTCAGAGACATAGTAACTACTCAACAGGTACAAGTTATGGTGACAGAATGGGAGACAATGCAAAACAGTAATTTATGTTCTTCTAGAGACATTCAGACTATCTACAGCTCATTGCAGTCTGTCTCATTGAATTCCTCCCAGGGTAAGAATGGAGTGAACCTACAGGAACAAATGCCCAAGGGGCACATAATGGAGGGCACAAAGCAGTATGGAAAGTTATCTCTACTCCCAAGTAATGAGCTCAGCACAGTGGCATTCTGTGTGGTGAGATTTCACCTGTTCTTGTTGTTGGGATTTCTTCTAGGCCCCATCC